TATTTATTTATGTTTAGTCAATATTTCTTTTTAAGCATATTTCCTTTTCAGTGGTGTCTAAGTATGGAAATTCCTTGTAATTTTTATTTGCAGAAATTAAAAGAAGTTTGAATTTTTATGACATTAATGGTACTATCTTTCCTATCACTTTCTACTCCTTAGTTTGAGCCTTGAGGACAAGACAATGTTTTTGTTTGGGGGTGGGGAAGTTTTCCATCTTTTTGCAAAAGAATCAAACTCCTCTTTCTATACTTGAATTATTTAAAAAGCCATAAAAATTCAAAAATTAATAGTGTTTTCTATAACTACTTTTCCAAAGTGAGAAATACTACTCCATCAATGATGAGTAAAATGGTTAATTTTTTTTAAGTTAAGGATATTTATTGCTTCACCTATTAGTTGGGTTCCATACTACATTTCGATGAGCATAAGCATTACATTTCATTGCATTTATGGCAAATAGTGGTGCACATGCAACTATACCTTAGGAATCTTGATGAATATGTTTGGAGACTTAACCTAGTGAGCTTTTAAGTCCCGTCCTTTTCTTAGAGAGTTCATACATACATCTGGAGTCAAAGACTCAACCTCTCAGTTTTGATTGTTTTTATAGTCTCATATTCATATTTATCAATTAGCCTTGAGTTGACAGAAACTTGGGTCTTGTAGCTTATTTCAAGACGTTATTACAATATTGAAGCTTAGAAAAGATAACAAAGACATCTAGTTAGCCCAATTTTACCTTAGCCTACCTTGATTTTTACATTTTCCATTAGGATTAACCATTGTGAGCCTTTCATGCATGATATGTTACTTAGTCTTTTTTATTAGCCCATTATCCTTAACCAACTCCATTGTGGGAGTAAATCACCTTAGAATGTTTAGGTCACCTATATTTTTTGAACATGGGGATTATAGTTTTGTGATTATACAAGAAAGAAGAGAAAAACAAAGAAAATCACCGAACTAGTGAAAAATCCAAGTATTGAAGATCAAAAGGTTTGAAGAAATTCCAGAAAAGCCAAATCTTCCAAAAATACAAAAATCCAAAAAGGGAGGAAGATTTATTATTTGGCTAGTGCTTCATTGAAAATTTCCAAAAGAAGAAATAATACTTAAATCAAAAAGAAAATTCCAAAAATTTTCCAAGTGCGGATATTACAAGTTCACAAGTGTGGAAGACCTCATTGTTCCAAGAATTTCCATAAAAGCCTTTTCCATTTCTAAACCATGTCCTAAACCCAATTACATCCCATTATGTCTTTTGTTGATTTAAGCTTGATATGGTAGGATGTCAAGTAAGTGAGAAGGTGCTGAGGTGAAGTACCCGACATCTCAACTAAGTCTAATTTTCCATTCTTTGAGACTAAGTTCATTCCATTACACTTGTCTGTTCTTCTTGATATATGTGAGATGTTTGTCAATCTTATTTCCTCACATAAAGAGAAAATTATAAGCACCATCTCTAAGTGCATTTTATTTCTGAGTGTATGTCTGGTGAGGCAGAAGTCAATGCAACCTTTCTGATAGTGACTTGAGGCTTGTAGTCGTATGCATGCAAACACTTGCCATGTATATATTTGAAATTATTTATATTTATCTTCATGCATTAGTAGTAAGTTGTTTCATATGAATGGTTTTACAATACTTATCCTTATCATTGATATATTGATGGATGACTTCCATTTCTTAGGAAAAATGGGAAATCTTTCTACCTTTCGATTAATCGTTATAGTAAGTTTTTGGGTATCTTATCTGGAAAACCCTCAGGAGACTATAACTCCTTCACCTGGGAAGCCCTTGTAGTTTAAAACCTTGATGTATATGGTCAATGCAATCACCTTAGTTTAGACTTAGTTTTAGTTCTCTTTTGAGTCTTTATTTCTTTTTCTCACCATTGCTTGAGGACAAGCAAAGTGTTGTTTGGGTTTATTTGATAAGTCCTCAAAATTGTATATTTATCCCTTAAATAACACCTTGTTTGTCTACCACTTAGCATTTATTATTGTATAATGTCTATTGATTAGTGGTTTTTTGTGATTTATGTAGGTTTTCAGAGCCATATGATGAATATTATGCTAAAGCCCAAGAAATACTGCTAAAGAGGTGTAAACTACAGAAGGATAAAAATTACTATTTGCGCCCTCCGATTACTAAGAGAACCCCTCAGACTGATCCTGCTGACTTGTCTTCATGTTCCAAGTGGTTGGTCAAAATCTCAGGTCAATCCAAGTTATATTGAAGCCTATAGGTCAAAAGATTCAAGAAAGCCCATTAAAGCCCTAACTTAAAGTACATCTTAAAAAGACTCTATTGGATGATCCAGAACTCTGTTTTGGGCCCATAAGTAGTCTATCTGAAGGTCTTGATGAGACGAACAACTTAAGGGGCCCAACAACAGCAAGGACGAATTTTGAACTAATGAGCTAGGGTTTGCTTATGTTTTGTAATCTCTACTATATAAAGATAACTTTAGCTAGGTTTAGAACTACTTCATGCTTTTACTTTTAGTCTTTCTCTTTGCCTCCATTGAGATGACACTTTTGGTAGTCACTTCTTCTTCTTATTCTATCAATAATAATATATCTCCATATTCGATCAATGATGTGCTGTACTTTTATTTCTCTTCCCATGGTGTTATTATGAAGGATGAGTAGCTAAGTTCCCTTAGGGAGAATGGTTGAAGCACTATAGATAATGTAGATACCATGGAAGTTTATTTGTTTATGCTTATAACTTTTTTGTTCTTAATGCTTGTTATTTCTCTCTGCAGTAGAATATTAACGTGATTATTTATGTATTCTTGTATCCATGTTCTTCAATAGTTATTAGTTAGAGTACCGAGGAGACCTGGCAATAACTGTAGTAGTAGTATAAGTAAAGATCTGTAAGTGTACTGGGGAGACATGGCAGTTGCTTATTAATATTATGTTCTTTTATTGGAATGTTTGATTCGTTAAATTGTATTGGAGATCAACCTGGTGATTTAGTATGATAACTTTGTATCTTTTCTATGGGATCTTGCATGAATACATATAACTGATCATGTATAATTAGGTGTCCCGTCGAGAGATGGTGGCTATTTGCATGTGTAGTAATAATTTCCTTGTACTACCGAGAGGTGGCGATTTAATTGTTATGTTGAGCATATTTAAATACCATGGTTGTTTACATGTCTAGTTTGTGGATACCTTTCTATTCCCTTTAATTATCAATGAATCTTCTTTACAACCCTTTCATTATTCCATCTTCTTTAATTAGTTTAGTTTAATTTATTGCCTGTAGGGTTAGAATCAATAATCTTCTCTTTTATAATTGATTCTTTAGAATATCTAGTTAATAGTAATTTTCTCTTGTGTTTGAGCTAAGAATATCCTCCTTGAGGTGGGTACGACTTTTGCTTATTACTTGTTTTACAATTGACAATGGAAAAGTATTATCATTATCTACACATTAATCACTTGTTCTTTATGAGAGACTAAAAACCTAACATCAGTTTGTCAACAAAAAGGTTGGGTGTGAGGAGTTGTAGTAATGTTGTATTACTAGCTCAAACGTCAATGGAATCTAGCACATTGGAGTCCCCTTGAAGAATGGATGTACACGCCCTTGCTGAGCCACTATAAACCCTTGTGTCTTTTGCTTGGTTTGCTTCCTTAGTTCTCTAATTCTCTAGTTTATTTGAAGGCAAATCTAGATTACAAGAACACAACATATACACACACTTGTTCTTCATATATTATGTTGTGGGGTTTTGTTCATAGAATTCAATTGATGCAACCATTCTCTCGAACAAAAACATCAAAATCTTCTCATCTTTATCTACATCACAAGATTTGCATGGTTAACACCAACACCACATAATCACATACTATTAGTTCTTGTGCTCATTATATGTGTGTAGTGGGGTTGGGTTTTTCACATAATGACTTCTTATTTTGTTGTTAATCTCCAATTTATAATAATATCATCTTCTCCTATTAATCACATATCTATCTTCTTAGTTTTCCTGGTGTATCTCTCTTTAAGCTCTTTATCTGATAAACAAGAATCGATTGGACCCCCAGTCGACTGGACCTTAGATGACTGAACCTTGTCAGACTGAGACTTGGTGTTTCTTTTTCATCTCTTTTTCGAGGGATTTTGCTAGGGTTGTTTCTTTAGCTTGTGGTGTGAATAGTCCTTATAAAAAATCCAATAAGGGAATTGCACGTAAATATAGACTAAAGGGTGTGGTGTGAATAGTAAATATTTACTATTGTATAATAATAT